TTATCAAGCACCTAAGATCTTTACATCCCCATCATTGACAGAAAATCCTTTCTTTCACCTACATATCCACTCAGACTCTGGATAAACACGAAGAAGGGCCTCAATGGAAGCAATTCATCTCTCTTTAGCGTGCTTACACTCCGTTCGACAATGACGGATCGTGTATTGAACTTGGCTCGCAAGAGCTCCCATCAATCACCTCCCTCTGTCCCATCTAGGACCACCGATCTACCGCCCCCCCCCCGTCATTGGCTAAATCAGACAATGGGGCCGACTGGAGCGCCTGAAATCAACACTGTGATCTGATTTGACCTGCTGAGGGTTTGCAGAACACGGATGTGTTATATTTTATAGATACAATGCAGCATCTGAGAACGAGACAAAACAAAGAACCCAAAGTAGTGCAGTTATTAAATAGAGGAGAATGAAGCATAGTTTTGATAATTTCTTCCTATGCAGTCAACTGTACACCCCTATATTAAATCCAGTCCAACCATTGCCTCCAGAAGTCAGCTAGTCAACACCAAGTTAACGCTTTAGAGGCATCTTCAAGTATTGTGGCGTTTATCATTCTCTACCAGCTTTCCAAATCTGAAAAGAGCAGCTTCTTCATCTCTTCTTATGACCTTTTTGGCCATCAGTTTCTTTTTATTAGGGGTGTGCAAAATAATCGTGATGATGATGCATCGTGATTCTAATTTTCGTGATCTACTGCATCGATTCTTGATACCAAGAATCGATTATTAATTTCAAAAAATGAATAAATAAAATTGCATGAATGGTTGGCGAACATCAGCCAAAAACAAGTGTAATACAACTTCCAGTCCAGTAGATGTCGCTGCAAATGTGTTGACGCACGCTGCCTTGTGTCACAAGCATTTCCGGCCGCGGGATACTGTGCCGAGTCATTCAAAAACAAAACATGGAGGATAAAATATTGCAATGCATCGCAATAATTCAAGTATCGTGATGCATCGTGATTCGAATCGAATCGTGACTTATTTGGCAATACCCACCTCTACTTTTTCTGCTTTACAACTTTTAGCATTTAGGCCAAGGCGTCCTTTTTCATCTCCCGTGTTGGTTTTGTTTCATTGCCAAATGCCCAGCAGTTCCACCTGAGCTCTCTGCAGCTCCTCCACAGCTGAAAGAGATCTTGTGGTCATCGTTGCTGGTGGGTTTCATGGAATATATCTGAAGATTCTCAGTCATCCAGGTCATGAACGTGAAGTTTTCTTGAAGACGTTTCACCTTTCATCCAAGAGGCTTCTTCGGTTCGAACTAGATGTGAGGAGCACTGCGATTAGGGAGTAAATGACCCGCCAGAACCCCCTAACAACCATTAACACCTCGCAGGTGACCTCCATGGTCAATCCAGTAGGAGGGATCAGAGCCAGCGTCTCCTTAATTGCACCTACAGTATATTAATCTCAGAGCTCCCCGCCACCAGTTAGAACTGAAGAAGCTTCTTGAATGAAAGGAGAAACATTCTAGAAAAGTTGCCCAAACTGAGCTTTTTCAGGGTTTCATGCAATGTCAGTTCTGTCAAGCGTGGCGTCCTTCATGGCTCCTCATCAGGTCCTGTTTTTCTTTTTATTTTATTGCCATTTATGGTTTGATTAAAGCTGTGCAGACGATACAGCTGCAATCACCACTTAATTTACATCCTTGTGGTTATTTAAACTGTCTTTGCTTTTTAGTAGACTTATTTTCAACCTGATTAGGTCGTCTTAGTCGTTACATCTTTGCCATTTAATAATCTAGTGACATTTATAAAATTAAAGTAACTTTTGAAGGAAATAGTTGTACTGGATTCTATTTAAGGGTATTAAAATAAAACAGGTAAAAATATATTTGCAGCATTGCTCAGTTTTTTATTATTGAAAACATCTTTACAACCATGCAGCATTGGTGTTGGTCTAACAGATAAAATCTCAATAAAATGTATATGAATTTGTGATTGCAAGGTGACAAAATGTGGTTCAGAGATTTAAATAATTCAAGACTTCATATAATCATTTACAGATTTGGATAAATTGGTTTTACAGCAGTGCATGGCAGTGACCAGACCTGGCAGTGAGATTAAGGGTCAGTAGGTGAAAAACTGGAAGCTAGAAAACCTTTATTTTTCATCAATAATCATGTCTACCCCTCCTAGGCTTATGTGATGTTATCCTGCAACACTCTGTAATAATAAGGGTAACATTAATACCATCAAAACACCCTTCCACTCTATTTTAAATCAGCACCTGAAAAACAGATGTTGGCACTGTGACAGAACCAGAGGTGGGGGTGGTGCCATTAAGCTGAATACACACTGTTCTGTTGCCTGGTGTAGAGGTCGTTTACTTGTCTGACACTGATAACCCTCTCAGATTGGACTGCATGCGATTTTAAAAGATAGAAGTGGTGGAAAATGTGGAACAATTCAGTAACTGAGAGAGAAAGACAATGCTAGCCCCCCACACAAACAACAACTCTGCCAAAAAACTGAGAAAGGAGCCTTTGGGACGCCGAGTTCCTCTCCTTTCCACCCAATCGACTTGCCATGATTCCACAACCAGGGAATATCCCCCTTCCTTCTGGCCAGCCTCGTGGGAAAGAGGCTGGAAAAAGTGCCGGCTTTTGGAGGTCCGCCCTGTGCGTTTGTGCCCATTACTCATCAATGGGGGAAGCTGGAACGTTTGTTCCCTCTTCGTGCTGGCACATGACACAGCGAGTCTTCTCTGGCTCCGGTACGCCGCAAATTGTGACTGCCAAGTTTTTTGGCAGGAGACCAGAGGGTCGGTTACGCAACCGGCTTCCGTCATTTCACCATGAGCAAAAACAGATTGTTGTATTCATAAACAGTTGCTGTAGAGATTCACCCACACAGGCTGAGTCAATAGATAGTCTGGGTCACCCTCGGGGCCACCGAGATAAAAAGTGATGGTTGCAGAAAGTCAGACTGCATATAATCTACGACGACAACCCTGGTGTAAACAAAAATAATCTTGCCAGGGATACCCAGCTCCCTGATCTGCGAGGAAACATTTAGACCGACTGTATCAGTATGGTTTAACCTGAACTACTCCTTTTAAAGTTAGTTTATTTAAACCTTATCTCTCCAAGCTGTCACAGCTGGAACACCTAATTGTTCGTTCTCACAATTGTGGTCAATAAAGCTGCTTCTTTAAAACTAAGTATTATTTTTTAGCCTAATTTAGGTTTGATTTCTACGGAAGAGGATTAGGGCCACTGGAAAAATAAAAAAAGTTAACTGATTTTTTTTATTTTATTTCAGTATATTATGGGAAAAAAGTCAGAATTCTGACTTTAAACTCAGAATTCTGACTTTTTTCTCAGAATTCTGAGATTAAAGTCAGAATTCTGACTTTAAACTCAGAATTCTGAATTTTTTTCTCAGAATTCTGACTTTAAACTCAGAATTCTGACTTTTTTTTCTCAGAATTCTGACTTTAAACTCAGAATTCTGACATTAAAGTCAGAATTCTGACTTTTTTCTCAGAATTCTGATCTCAGAAGTCTCAGAATTCTGAGATCAGAATTCTGAGACTTTTTTTTCAGAATTCTGACAACAAAAAAGTCAGAATTCTGAGATTAAAGTCAGAATTCTGACTTTTTTCTCAGAATTCTGAGACTAAAGTCAGAATTCTGACTTTTTTCTCAGAATTCTGACAACAAAAAAGTAAGAATTCTGAGTTTAAAGTCAGAATTCTGAGAAAAAAAGTCAGAATTCTGAGTTTAAAGTCAGAATTCTGAGATTAAAGTCAGAATTCTGACTTTTTTCTTAGAATTCTGAGATTAAAGTCAGAATTCTGACTTTTTTCTCAGAATTCTGAGATTAAAGTCAGAATTCTGACTTTTTTCCCATACTAAACTGAATTTTTTTTTTTAAATCAGTTAACTTTTTTTTTTTCCAGTGGCCCTAATCCTCTTCCGTAGATTTCAAAGCTTATAAGATTATAAAAAGATCAGATGTGCACCAGAGCGTGAATAACTAACTTATGAAATTGTGGAAAGCAAGAGTAGAGATGATGGGGTCATATTACACAACAATAAACTCACAAGATCACAGCCAACACCCACACAATATGAATCATATCACAATGTCACGCAAAGATAAATCAACTGAGAACATAATGAGAATAGTAAATCAAAAGAAAAGCAATAAGTAGGACAAAGAGTTCCAGGAGTAATCTAAGGACAAGTACATGCTCTGGCTCCTTTAAATTTTCCTAATGTCAGCCACTAGGGGTCTCCTGCCATGTGGCTCCTATGCTTGAAAGAGGGATTTAAATTTCTCCAGCTGTCAATCAAAAGCCCAACCATAACAAATGTCTTGTTCTCAAATATACAAGTTAAAAAATACCAGAAAGTATATTTATAAATGGAAAATAAAAACATATCTTGATACATATGTTGGGTAAGAAAATAATATAACATCCAGTTTAAAAACAAGCACAAACTATGGGATATGGGGGTATCTAAGTTTAACTCTGAGGTTTATTTCAATTTGGATAAGCTGATTAGACTTAAAAAAAATTAAATTGGTTTTTTAACTCTTTATTCTATAAATCAATGCGTATCTTTATTTTTTTTTTAAATATCCAGGCTTTGCAGGTTCTGGTTGCTTAGTTAAGCTTTTGATCTGGCGCTGATTGACACAGCGCTTCAAACAGAACCACTCAAAATAACTTAATAACGTTAACTGTGAGGCTGGATTACAGCTGTAAGCTCACCTCGGTTCATATAGATTATTTAGGTGAAAAGACATTTAATCCCAAAACGATATGGAAGACAACACAACAGCACTTTCGCTCCTCAAATCGTGTCAATAGACGATTTAAAACCCCCGTCGCCCACCGCTGGTGTTAGCAAGCTAACGTAGCCTCTAGTCAGCATCGCACAGAGACTAACCGTCGGCTTTAGCCGCTAAACAGCCGCTGTTTGTCGCCTTATCCAAGCCATGTCCGTAAAATACATCTTAATGGACCTACCTGCCGTGAAACCAGTCCTTACAGATGTCGCATTCGATCATAAACCGGCTCACATCGTAGGGCTGCCGGCAGACACAGTACAGCGGGGCCGCCGCCATCTTCCTACTGTCCCCAAACAACGCAGGAATGAAGCGGGCGGGGATTTAACCCGCAGTCCGGAAACACACGAGCTGAGGACTGGGCGTCCGGATACAGCCGAGGACTTGGAGGTAGGGCAAGTTCATATAGCATATAATAATACATCATCTCGAATTATCTCACTACGTCTTAAGGGAAAAGGGGAAAAAAGAGGGCTAATAGCTCATCATAATTGCATAACACACACAATATTAATACTGCCTATTGATAATACACAATAGTCAGTATATATGACATAAAAGATGAAAGACAGAAGGTCAGAAAAATGTTTATATCACATAACACTGACCTATTGTTACTTTATCTGCATTTTCTCAAGTTAGTGTACAAAAAAGATAAGATCTCATATATATATATATATATATATATATATATATATATATATCGGTCTCCGCCAAGTGACGTCAATTGTTTACCTCGGGCGCGGTACACTACGCCTTTTCCACCTAAAATGGCATCTTAGCAACAAATGTCACATGACTGGCGGAGACCGATTTTCCTAAATCCGCCCCTGTTTTCAGGCTTATGTTAACTGTAATGACTTATCTTGGACAGGCTAAAATGTAAACAGGCCTTTAGTCCTTCGTTTATCAATGCTGCGGTTGTTTACACTACGCCTTTTCCACCTAAAATGGCGTCTTAGCAACAAAAGTCACGTGACTGGCGGAGACCGATTAGGGGTGGAACGGTTCACAAAATCCATGGTTCGGTTCGATTCACGTTTTCGTGGTCACGTTTTTTGGATCGGTTCGATTCGGTATATGTTGATTGTTACATTGAAATCCCATAAAAATGTATGAAATTAATGAAAAAAATCCCCCCAAAAATAATGGATTGTAATTATTTTAAATGATCCGCAGAAACCCTGGATCATTTAGGTATGTTTTGCTGCTTTGAATTGAATCATCTGGCGCATGCTCTCTAACATCTCCAAGGAACTCAGAGGGGAGCGGACGGGAGCTTTGAGCAGCCGGTGTAGGTACCACATTGACTCGGGGGCCTGCGCCTTTTGATGACGTCACAATACATAATTGTTTTAATGTTTGCACAATTGCGCAAAACATTTTGATTGGTCTGGACAGCTTACTAAAGTAATTATAGCGGGGTGTAGGTTTTATTTGAAAGCGGGATTGCGGTTTGTAAACGGACAATTTTACGAAGAAATTCTCCATGGTCCCTGCGCCTTCCGATGACGTCACCGAATTCGCCATGGGCCTTGCGCCTCCCGATGACGTCACATTATGGCAACGCCACTCAAACAAACTACATTGAGCCCGCGGTCTGCATTTGTAACGAGAATAAATTCAGGAGAATGAAGCTAAAGGGATACAAAAAACAAACTTGTAATATTACAAAAACAAAAATACTACAAATACAAAGTATATTCAGAGATTAAAGTCCCTCTGATACTGTTTAAGTGACTGAGAAACTGCAGATTTGCCACATTTAAGATGGCGGACGCTCATGACGTCATCAAAAGGCGCAGGCCCCCGAGTCAATCTGGTACCTACACCGGTCTGGAGCGCAGCGGGGGTTGCTGACGGAGTATGAGGGATTTCGGGGTTAGCATGACATGTTGGTCATGTTGCTGTTAGCATAAACAAAACGTGTTGCACAATGCTTGCACACTGTTGCATTTTTAGCCCCAACTTTCTTTCCGCCGTCATCGTAGGTCACTCTAAATGCAAAGTGGTCCCATACAGCAGACCTATAAAGTGCTGCTGGCGCGTCTTCCAACTCCTGTTCTTTCCCACTCGCCATACCCACACAATTCTCCACAACAACTGATTTTTTTCCCCTGCTACACCCGGCTAAGCTGCTTCGCTTCTTCTTCTTGTTTACTACTGGTGGTTGGCTTTGGACGCAGTACCGCCACCTTCTGCTCTGGAGTGTAAACGCTTCGCCTATGAGAAGAAGGAGCAGCGCATGAACCGAACGAAATACACGCGAACCGAACCGAGACAGTAGAACCGAACGGTTCGGACGGTTTTCATAAATCGTCCCATCCCTTATATATCTATATATATATATATATATATATATATATATATATATATAAATTATTTTCTTACCCATCATGGGGTGGTATGTGTCATCCTCAAGCTCGGGTCCTCTACCAGAGGGTTTGAGGGTTCTGCGCAGTATCTTAGCTGTTCCTAGGACTGCGCTCTTCTGGACAGAGACCTCTGATGTTTTACCTGGAATCTGCTGTAGCCACTCTCCCAGTTTGGGGGTCACAGCCCCCAGTGCTCCAATTACCAATGGCACCACTGCTGCTCTTACTTTCCACATCTTTTCTAGCTCCTCCTTCAGTCCTTGGTATTTCTCAAGCTTCTCGTGTTCTTTCTTCTTGATGTTGCTGTCGCTTGGGATTGCCACATCTATCACTACTGCCTTCTTCTGCTGTTTGTCGATCAACACGATGTCTGGTTGGTTAGCCATCACCTGTTTGTCAGTCTGGATCTTGAAGTCCCATAGGATCTTATATATATATATATATATATTGCTGTGTGTGTGTATTTATATATTATCTGTTACTGTTATACCCAAGCTCTAGGCCACTTGCCATAATTTAAAATGTTACGTCATACCGTGCTCTTTTTATAATATGATAAATTAGATTGCCATACCCTAAACCATTACGAGATCCTCCTTCTATTGAAGCCCACCTCTGACGTGTGTTTCCAAATTATTCATTTCCATCTGGCTATATGAGGCACAACAACAATAGATTCCTTTCCAAAAAGAAAGGAATGATTTAATGAAATTATTTTATAGTTGTTAATTTTTTCTTTTTAATCATTTAGTTTTTTTGACACATTAATGACTACTATAGGACAAATAAAGGAATATGAACCTTAATTATGTACAGTACCGTACATTTAGGGATTAGGAGGGACTCAGTCCCTGGACATAGAAATGTAAAATAGATCTCCTGTCTTGTTGTCAGAAAGCAGACTGATTTGAGATGGATTTTTTGTGTGTTTTTTGCTTAAAGTTTGTATTGTAATTTAGGCGTATTAACTATACAGATTTATTTGTATTATTCTGTTTGCCTAAATATGCATTTTTTTTCTGTAAATTCAGTTCCTATTGTATTTATATAGTTTTCTGGAATATTTTATCTTACATATTTTTTTTTTTTCATATTTGTGTGTTTTTATTTTATTTAAAATGTATATTGATCCAACAGTGAATCATTTCTAATGCATTTTTGTTTCTCCTTGTCAAACTGATGACCGCTTTTATTTTGTTATCATAGTTAACTTTACATTGAAGAAGAGTCCTAATGTTACATTTAGCAATCTTTTTGGAGCTATTCAATGCAGCATAAATATATCTGCATTTCTGTGTTGTAGCTTTGTTATTGTTTGCTGTTGTTGTCAGATTTAATAAAAAAACAAAACATGTTTTTGTTATTTTGGGTTATTTTATATCCGTGCCATATAGTAGTATTTAAGCTTCCTCTTGATTTGCTATTTAGTCACATTTTCTTTTGCTGTCAAGCCTTTTATTTCTTTTTTGGGATCTTCTCTTTATTTTTTTTTTAGCATTATATAGATTGAACAAACAAAACTCTTCTTGAAAAATGTTAAGACATTATCAGCAGTAATGACACCTGTGAGTTAAACTTTAAATTTAAGCCCTTATATTTGCAAAATATAGTGACATGAGATTTACAGTCATGGTAGAAATAAATGAAGATAAGAAAAAATTGCAGAATAGCAAAAACTATTTTGGAACTACTAATTACACAAAAAAATATTTCATCTAAGTTTTACGTTTTTTGTCATTTTATTACAAAACAAATTCCAATTTACTTTATTTTAGATCCCATTAACACAAACTTATTAAATAAACATTACATCATGCAAAGTAAGGTGTATAATGAATATTTGTTTGAAGGTGTATGTTTTCAGTATTAATTAATTCTACTTTCTAACAGTTAATGCTAATATAAGTGTATTTATTTAAAAAAACATTAAGTTTATTGTGCAATATTAATTATTATGCAATTCAAACAATAAACTTTATGTATTTAACTAATAAAATCATGAGTATAAATTTTGAATAAATATACTTTATTCTTTCTAATATATAAACTATTACCTTTTTTTAATAAGCTATGTTAGAATGATGAATATGCATTGTTAAGTTTTATTTAATAGTTTTGTGTTAAAATGATAAAAAAGTAATTTTTTCATGTAATGAAATAACATAAATTTTAAGGTTCCTATGAAATACTTTTGTGAGTGTACACCCATATTTTAACGGTCATAAACATTGAAGTGTTTGTTATATTCTGTGAGAAAATCGGCAAAAACACTTTAATAAAATAAGGAGTTTTATCAAACTGCAACTCTGGTGTTTAAGGGTTTGTTTGAACACAATGCCAGAGTGGAAAATCCATGCATTTTTTACTTGAAGGCTGGACTATTGTAATTCTTTACTATCAGGAAGTCCACAAGCTAGTTAAAAGCCTTTAGCTGATCCAAAATGCTGCAGCAAGAGTTCTGATGAAAATGAAAAAGAGAGATCATATCTCTCCTATCCTGGCTTCTCTTCATTGGCTTCCTGTTAAATCCAGAATAGAATTTAAAATCCTCCTTCTCACATATAAAGCCTTAAATGGCCAAGCTCCATCTGATATCAGAGATCTGATTGTTCCTTATGTTCCTAACAGAGCACTTCGCTCTCAATCTGCAGGTTTACTAGTGGTTCCTAGAATTTCTAAAAGTAGAATGGGAGGCAGATCTTTTAGTTATCAGGCTCCTCTCCTGTGGAACCAACTACCAGTTTTAGTCCGTGAGGCAGACACCCTGTCTACTTTAAGGCTAGGCTTAAAACTTTCCTTTTTGATAAAGCTTATAGTTAGAGTGGCTCAGGTTATCCACTCTCTATGGTTATGCTGCTATAGGCTTAGACTGCTGGAGGACATAGGGACCCCTTTTTCATCATTCTGCTTCATTCTATCTCTATTCTCCAACTGCAGAATCTGTTAGTTCAATCTCTAACGTT